ATTAGGCGCTTGAGGTTCTGAGCATAACCCTGTACATCCGTAGCACCTGGTTCACCACTTTCAGGTGAGATAATTTCACCCGGTAGACGGAGGGTGGTACCAAACACCAACTCTGCGGAAGTGCACTGTAAGTCTGCTTTGAGTGTGGAACGGATACTAAGTAGCACTAGGGGAAGAGACTCAGTCCACTTAGTATTCTCTGTAGCCATTAACGAAGCTTTCAGTTGACGGTGAAAACGCTCCACAAGTCCATTTGCTGCTGGATGGTACGCGGTTGTTCGGATGCGTTTGCACCCCAGTAGCTCTAAGAGCTTCTTGAAGTGGGTTGATTCAAACTGCTGTCCACGGTCTGTAGTCACCGTAGATGGACATCCGAACTGAGCTACCCAGCGTTCCATGAACACTCGGCAAATGGTTTCCGCAGTCGTATCGGGGATGGGAATAGCTTCTGGCCAACGAGTGAAACGGTCGACACATGTCAACAAATAACAGTGGCCATTTGATGGTGGTAGAGGACCCACTATGTCTAGATGAACGTGGCTAAAGCGAGCATCGGGTGAGGAGAAGGAACCCACTGGGGTGATGTTGTGTTTGTGTACCTTAGCTCGTTGACACGGCACACAGGCACGTGCCCAGATACGCACGTCTCGATTGATACCAGGCCAGACAAATCTAGCTGACACTAGTTTGTCCGTTGCCCGGATACCTGGGTGGGAAAGGTTGTGCAGGCTATCGAATACCGTACGGCGCAATGAAGGTGGAACGATGGGTCTCGGGGTACCGGTGGACAGATCACAGAGGATGGTACCCTCGCTATTAACGAGCGGGATACGCTTGATATGTAAGGAGGTATTTGACGACAGCTTATCAAGGTCTAACTCTGTAAGCTGACGTTGCGCCATTAGTTTCAAGTCAATGGTTGGAGGCGCCGATATGGTACATATCCGAGACAAGGCGTCTGCCACAGCATTGTCAACCCCCGAAATATGTCTAATATCCGAGGTGAATTGAGAGATATAATCCAAGTGACGCAGTTCGCGTGGGGAATATCTATCCGTAGTAGTGTGGAGGGCATACGTCAGTGGCTTGTGATCGGTAAATACTGTGAATTTCCGACCTTCAACAAAGTGGCGAAAATGTTTGATAGCCGCGTATATGGCGAGGAGTTCTCTGCCAAAGGTGCTATACCTCGCTTCAGCGGCGGACAACTTCCGGGAGAAAAAGGCGACTGGTATCCATGAAGTATATACCAGTTGCTGTAGAACAGCTCCAATGGCTGTGTTAGATGCGTCGACTGAGATGCTAAGTGGAAGATGGACGTCAAGGTGGACTAGCATGGTGGCGTCTGCAATTGCCGACTTTATATTCTGGAAGGCTTTTCGAGCCTCTGATGTTATGCTGAACGTTTTGTTCCTACCCTTTAGTAGGTCTGTGAGTGGCAGTAAAATACGTGCACATTGGGGAACGAACCGTCGATAATAGCTCACCATGCCGAGAAATGTGCGTAAAGATTTCATTGACGCAGGTTCCGGGAAGTCGGGTATTGCCTGTACCTTCTCAGGTAGCGGGCGAATTCCCTGCTCATTAATGACATGTCCCAGGAAGGTCAATGAATGGACGCCAATCTGACATTTGGACATGTTTAGCATCAAACCATGGGCTGTTAGCCGCTCGAAAACCATCTGGAGATGCGTACGGTGGCTAGCTTCGTCTGGGCTAGCCACGAGAATATCGTCGAGGTAAGCATGTGCGCAATCTAATCCTCGCAAAACATCGTGAATAAACCGCTGGAATGTTTGTGCGGCGTTGCGGAGTCCAAACGGGGTGATCACTGCCGTTTTAGGGATATCATCTGAGTGAACTGGAATCTGGTGAATGGCCCTGGTTAAGTCAAGTTTACTGAATACCGTGGCACCCTTGAGAGACGACGTAAGGTCATGAATATGTGTTACGGGGTAACGATCAGGTACGGTCTGTGCGTTAAGCCTGCGGTAGTCACCACAAGGCCTCCAATCTATCCCGTTAGGCTTTGGTACCACGTGTAAAGGGGAAGACCACGGGCTGCTGGAAGGACGGATTATTCCCATCTCTAACATGTGTTCGAATTCAGCCTTCACGGCTTGTAGTTTTTCTGGGGACAATCGCCGTGGCTTTGCGAAAACCGGTGGACCAGTGGTCGCGATATGATGAGTGACAGTAGACGTCACACAAGGAAGTTTAGAAATCGGTTTGAACAGATTGGCAAAGGACTGAAGAACTTCAGCGTAAGGGCCGTTAGAGGCAGGGGTTGAGTATACTGGGCTTAATGCAGGTGTGAGTGTCACAACACCGGAGATCGAAAGGCTTGTAGCTGAATCGATCAGTTTGTGTTTGCCAGTATCAACCAGTAGCTGATAGTGTTGCATGAGATCCATGCCAATAATACCAGTAGTTACATCTGCTACAAGGAAAACCCATCGAAATGACCTACGTAGGCCTATGTTAAGGTCCAGGAACTTTTTGCCATACGTTGTGATTGGCGAACCATTTGCGGCGCGAAGCTGTAAGGAAAGTGGCCGCTTGCGCTCTTCAGATGCTGGTGGGATCACGCTAACTTCCGCCCCAGTGTCAACTAGGAAGCGTGTCCCAGTGGTACGGTCGGTAACATAGAAGAGGCGACATGGAAGTGGTTCGCCAGCGACGTTAGTCGCCAATACGTGCTGGCTTACAGGTTTCCCGATTGCTGGCCATCAAAGGTGCACGGGCGAGTGCACTTTTGGGCCTTATCACCATAACGCCGGTGATACCAGCACACTCCAGGCTGGGAATTTTTAGGCCTACGACGTCTGCTGCCAGCTCGTGACGAAGATCTGCCACGAATCGAGCTGGTGCGGCTATGGGAACGACCTCTAGATCTCCTATCGAGTTTTAACTTATCTATCTCTTCGTACAGCTTATTGAGGTGAGCCACCACATCAACGTTGGATAACTCCACGACAGAGGAGATCCTAGTCTGCGTGGAACTAGCGGTAACGGCAGCCGAGATATTCGTGTTTGATGTAGTAGTCTCTACTACCCTATCGGCTGCCTCAGCTAGCTCAGATAAGGGGGAATGGTTGATTGGGGCTAAAATAGTCTGAATCGTCTGGGGTAACCGTTGTAACCACAGCTGTTTCAAGAAGGCATCATCTATTTTGAAGTCGGCCACCAACTGCCTCATTTGACGTAACAGTTGGGTGGGCTTTCTATCACCTAGGTGGACATCTCGGAATAGCTCCTGCACTTTCTGTTGTTCGGTAAGTGCCACGCGCTTAATAAGCGCCTGCTTGAGACGCTCGTACAAGCCCGGGGATCGGTCCGCAAGGACATCAGATACATCTTCCATGACGTGCTCAGGAAGACTTACTATAACGAGGTTCACCTTAGTCTCCTGTGAGTGTATATTACGAAGTGCGAACATAGCTTCGATGTGTTCGAACCATCGGGCAGGATGCTGAGTCCAGAAGGTGGGGAGTTGCAAGGTAATAGCCATTTCTGAGGCGGGACTGGTGTCAGTCATTTTGCACACGGGACGATATATTAATAAAATGACAACAAATATGATAACAACAAAAAATACGAGTAAAAACAAGGCAAATAAAAATTTACAACTCTGTATGACAAACAAATTACCAATATGAAAAAGAACTATTTACACGCTAGGCTAAAAAGTAGGCAACGGTGAAAATTCGGGCTCACCACTTGTAAGAGTTAGACTCTGTATTAACTTCGACCTAAAGGTAACTACTCTTACAAAACTTATTCACCGCTTATGGCCTTAATAGTACTCTGCCTAACGTGCAAGTACTAACAAACGGAATCAAGGTTAAAAGACTTGAGATGGCAAATGTGACTGGAACAGAATTGTATTTACACAAAAGAGATATGGAATTTGATAAGAAATACGAGGTACACACTTATCTGCAGATGAGACGGCGGTAAGCTCAGAGAGTGCGCTAGGTGAAAGCACAGTGAGAGAGCGAACCCGAAACCGTACAGGAGGTTCAGGAATACAATGCGGAAGTGGAAGTGAAGTCCAACATGTCAGGTTGCATTCATTCAAACAAAAGTTCAAAGGTACAATGTACACTATAGTGTACTGCTGGCCATTTCGTCTTCTCACTTGTCTATACTGCCTAATTGCTTCACTCATAACCTTGTCGTATGCTTTGATTTTTAGCAGGACATGGGGCTCGAACCCACAACCCTGAGAACAATAGTCTCATGCTGTACCGACTTAGCTAGCCAGGCGCCTCCAATTAATCTGTAGCGGACTTCATGGCGAGCTCAATAACAGCACAAGTATGAGATGATAGCGTAACAGCACACTGTAAAAAATACAGTGACAAGTTATATTAATTAAAGGGTTACTTTGATAAACAGTTAAAGTTCACGGTTGCAAATTATTAATATAATCCACAGAAGCGTTCACTGCTGGAGTCGTGTCTACTGGTAGAAGCTGTGTACCGGTTGTAGAGTAGACTTCGGATGAGTATAAGAGGTTCCTGCAGAAATCCAAAGTATACAACACGGTTATGAGTGAAGCAAGTAGACAGTATAGACCAGTGAGAAGACGGAGCGACCAACAGCACACTGTATTTTAGATTGTACTCGGAAGTTATCTATATTCCAACATGAATCGTTTTAAACAAGAGTCATGTACAATGTCTCTAATTTTAATATCTCACAAAAGAGTGTACAGCCATATTGTTGCGTACTTTACAAGCTTGATCAACATATCAAAACAAGAATCGTTTCAAGAACATAGGGAAATTTTCTCCTTTCACTCTGCAGGCGATTTTGACAGTAGATCATCCTTTTGCTCCATTATTGATTTATTTTCTGAATTACATACAATATACACCTTAAACAATGCCAGGAGAAAATTAGAAATTTCTCTGTTCTGGGCCTACTAATAAACAAGGTTGTTGGAAATTGAAACACCAGCGCTACTTCCGGATTTTCTGACGCGTGTTGATGTTATGCAGGGTGAGAATCCTGTTGACGTTGATGGTAGGTGGGACGTTACTGCTATTAAGTAATATCTAGATGTCCATTCTATGTCCTGCGGCAAACGTACTCTTTTGCAGTCCGAGGTATGCATGTTTATAGGGTGAAATATGATAGTAACATCTAGGTTATATCTTTTTTCGCCCCAGTTGCAGATAAATTGAGGTTGAAAGACGGAATATTTGTTCCAAAACCGCGCCGCGATATAGTGGAGGAAACGAAACTTCGAACAAAAACGATAACTGTGAGGATGAATTCTCCTACTAGATTAGAAAGAACGAATACATCTGTTGTTACTCCATCTGATAAGCTGAATACGAATCACTCTGAGTTAGCAAATGGCTTAAGTGTTTCAGACACTTCTGCACTCATGGATGGAACAAGAAACTGCTCATCAACTTGTAGTCCAGTCAGTTCAAACGGTTCCATGCCTCATAACAAACTTGATAATGATGCCGGTCTTGAGTCATGGAACGTTAAACGACAATCAATCCCCTGTGGTGTCTCAAAAACACCGAACCGGAAATCACTGTTCACTAAATTAATCCGCAGGTTGTCTACTCCACGAATCAAAACATCCAAAGGAAAAGGCTCTTCTGTGTCCGTTAAAACGGATGGATCACTATCACAAAGTGAATCTGTGTCAAACGGTCTCAGCCCACAGAAGTCTCGTAAATGGTTTGCCAGGCCTATGTGGAAGTCAACCAAAAATCCTACATCGCGTAAGTTCGTTATCGTCTTTTAAATGTCCCCCTTCATATGTCCACTTCACTGTGCTGTGCGAATAAATGAGGTGTATTCTTAAAATTGTTGTTGAAGATATACTAGATAACCTATGAAGATCTGTCTGAAGGTTGCCTTAATACAACAGATTTGTGTTTCACTTGATAATCAACCTTGAAAGCCAATTAATTCCTAACTCTCGTTACGTTAAATTTTGGATAGCCGGGTATTGTCGTTAGTCGCAGCAACAGGTGCGGACTAGTTACGAATGAACCATGGGCTTCACAGTGGTTTAATTTAATGTTATTGTTTGGATACTAGTTAGGTGAAATACTACTAAACAACCGATTTAAGGTCGACGCTTTCGACAGTACATTACATGCCGTGTGGTAAAGTGGTACTATTTAATGACCAGAATCATGGTGATAGGATTGGAGTATGATGTCTTAACTTGCAGAGTAGTAATCGATTATCGAGCGCAATGAGTCACAGCGTTATGTGAATACCAGTAGTTGGTTATCATGCTGTGCCATAAAAGGCAAACAAGAAGTAAACTTGGATAGCGATTAATCATGCTACCGAGCACACCAATAACGTAAGGGTTTGTAAAGAATAATTGGAAAAATGTCGTCTTGAATAAAAGTATATATAATATTGGATCTAGAGGTGTGGGATTTTATGGTTCTCAAAAAATAGTAAAGTGGAGGCTTGATCATTGCCAAAATAGTTACGTAATCAGAACGTCTCTGACACAAAGCATTACCAAGTTAGTATGTTAGTGTTACAATCGTTTTAACGTTAACTGGCTTCATCATCTTACGGGGGGATGTTTTTGAAATTTTATGATTATTTAGGTCGGCTGGTGTTAATTAGGACAATATTCTATAAAGTGTAACTGAGCTCCGAAAGTGTGGTTAAACATCTAAATTACATCAAAGCTGCATACAACTGCAACTTTTGTGATCAGTTCTAAGCGTATTTTATTAACTGAATATAAACCCTTTAATGTAACGTAATGGGAAGCAACCGTATCATATTATATAATAATCTAGTGTTTAAAACAACTTTTTTTATCATCCTACTCAAGATGCAACTCTACATCGCTTTTAATAACGAATAAGAAAGTAATAACTAGTCTCGGGAATTTGCGAATCGCTTAGTCATCTGCTCCCAGTCAAGTATGCTTCTCTGGGAGGATAACTATTAAGTACGAGTTATTCCTTTAACACTTACTTGCCAAAGTTATCTACTTCATTTTTTTCATTTATCTTTTTCCGGTAGTGACATAGTCCAAGTGTGGTGATTGTTTTACTATGAAATTCATGCTTTCGGCTTGATAACTATATTTTAACAAGAATAGATCAAACGCATTATGCGTACATTTCCTCATGTAACAAACGTTGGTAGCACCAAACGTGTGTTAACCTTTAACACAGGTATAATTAGTTCCATGACTATGGATCTCTTGATATGAAGACAATATTTGTAGCTGTCGATTTAAGTGTTGACAATGTGTCGCGCAAAGTAGTGGATAGTGATCACACCATGTAATCAGAGTTGTTTTCCTGAAATACACACGACTACATTAAGCATATTGTGAGATTTCTCTCAAGCTGTTTGGGATTAGCAATGCATTCAAGTATGTGCATTGGTTGAGACGCACTTATGGATATCATCATCTGCATACCACTAAACGTTTTTTTTTAGTGAATTTTCATTCCACTTTCACTAGCCATTACATTAACATCAACTTGCCAATTCAATATTGTCTATTAGTCTTAACAACAACTTGTGTCTGACTCCGTTTTCCCAACTGACTGCAATTTCACTAACTTTGTCCACATACTAATATTAATACAACGAATGAAATCTACTCACTATGATTTTTCTTACCATCATTAATTGTAATTCATACTGCTGCTCAATTTTATAATCTTTTTTATCTGTTTTCAGAAAGTAGTATAGATTCTCAAAGCTCTTTGGTTAATGTGAATCCCGATATCCAAATCCAGGATGTGCCATCTGCAGTGGACAACTTATCACAAAAGTTTGATGTAGTCATCCAGGATTTCAGATCTGTCCCAGTCCCTCGTAAGCGGATAATACTACCGAATTCAGTGAAATCGGCAATACAAAAACCCCAGAACTCCTCTAACAATGTCTCAGTAAGTTTTCCTGTGGTTTTATATTCTTGTTAGCTGGGTTCAAATGCAGGTCGTGATTTTTCATAGTAGGATTCTATTTATTGATGTTGCTCTAAATATTCACGCTCTCGATATTTTGTCTAAGCTGACAATATTCAACATCAATTATGTTATTTCTAAGAAATACATGTACCGATTGAATGTTCCTTTCTACCATTACTCATTCTGTTTCACTCTTATACTTGTCTAAATTCTACTGATTCTCTTCACTCATTTTCTTGTCTACCTTTATGTGCTATTTGGAACGTGGCAACTCGAACTGCTGCACTTCGGTGCCAAGTTCTATGTTGAATCCAGCAGCAGCAGCAGCAGATTGAATGTTGTCTCACACGAATAGGTGGTAAATAAAAAAAGTTTCAGCTCGTGGAATGAATAATAAAGCTTTTATTAGCGTAAGCTGTGATGTAAGGAAAACTTCGTGTTTTCGTTTTGAGCTACCCTATACGAAAATTGTCACAACATTCCTGGTACGGAATATTTAATCAAAGGTGGTGAACGTCATTGGAGTAATAAACTTGTTAAGGACAGTCTCAATAGTTTGAATAGCCTACACACTAGTCAAGTTCTGCTTAACGGTTTATTATGATTAGTCTTCACTTCATAGATTTTGGTCTTAACGTCTCACAAAAATTGTAGTTTTTGAGCTATCACATTACTATATCGGGTTTATGTTCATTCAGCTTTATTTAACTAGAATTTCAAGTCTTTTTGTATTGCATGTCCACAAATTAAACAAAGTGTTGTCATATGGCTTTCAAATTGGTAAATTTCTAAGGCATATTGCTCCTGATACATATTCTTTACCGAAAAGTAGTCGTAATACCAGCTGTTGAATTACAGTGCATGTAAATATGTTTAGGGAACTAACAGAATAATAGCCTTCCCAAAAGAAAATTATATCTTGTCTGTGCCGTCACAGAGTAATCATCTAATGAAGAACTTTAAGTTCACCACCACTTCTGATTCATTGAAGTATTCATAGACCTTAAACATTTCCATGTCTCTTGTGAAATAAGTTGACTATCCAGTCTCTCGAAACACAAAACATTTGTATATATACACTGTCAAAAGGCTCTCTATCCCCAGTGGAAAGATATACTGACAATTTTCCCCTAGAATCACTCAGTAATCAGTGATATCTGATCACTCTTCAGTACATTTCATCAAGGATTTTCCACGTGGTTAACATGAGAAACACTGTGTTTTACCCTCTTGTTATCTCTCCTGTTAAGGATTGTCACATAAATGGATTTTTAACATCTCATACTGTAGTGATAACTGAAACAGTAAAATTAGCACAATATTTGAAACTTTCAAAGAGCCTATTATCTGTAACTTTTGCTTACAACTATCAGTTAATAACTATATGCTTTTAACTGCACCTAAAAGTTGGAATTCATGAAATTTAATCGTTTTGTGTATTGTGAGAGATTTCAAAGAAGTGGACTCGTATATTTTACAGTATTAACTTACATTGTGTAGGCTAACATAACAAATAAGACTGCATGGAGTTTTTGAAAGCCCTGGTTATCTATCTTATCTTTGTATAATTGGGAAGTTGATGAACAAAAGCTCTAGTCTACTTACTGAATCTGGATCAAATAAATATTTCGTGTCATTGCTGGTGTTGAACACTACGCTCAAGTCTTGTTTAGCATTCCATCGCTTACTTCGTATCATGCTAGTCGTTATGCTCTCTTGTAAATTTAAAACATCCTACTACTAGATTTTCCATTTCTTTTCACACAAAATAGCTGTAGACAACTGTAAAAGCTGCTAATAACCTAAAACTAAACGTTAGTAAAAACCAGTGGATTTCTACTACCTCATCCGAACTGATTAATAAAACAAGACTGATTCCTGCGACCTCCGAATATGATGAAGAGCGATAGCTTCTCAAACGCAAACTAACAAGAATTCTTCGTAACAACCGTGAATAGTGGTGGGCGACAAAGCAAAAGAGATGGAAATGGCATCAACGATAAGCAACACCAGACAACTATTTTGGCTTATCAGGGAAACAGGTGGGAGAAGGAAATGATCAGTGAAACAATCTTCTAGAAAAATTGTACCAGGATAGACGGCTGGAAAGTTAGAAAGAACACTTTGAGGAGCAATTTAATCGATCTACAGCTACGCTCAACTTACTGAACATCCAACACCACAATGAATGAGATAAAAACAGGTCCTCCGTCCCTAACTGAGGTTACAAAAGATATCGCTAATCTGCGACAAGGCAAAGTTGCGGGACCTGATGGAATGACTTCAGAGGTGTTTAAGGAGGGTTATTATTATTTCCTTTAGTTCCTAGAGGAACATAGGACTCCAGGCGCACATCTTCATTGCGTTCGGTTCTCTGCCAACGTTTACACCTAGCTCCACGTCTGCCTACATGCTTTCATCTCCTCTTCACATGACCTCCTCCATGCCACCGTCTCACTAACGACCAACTCGCCGCATCCCATTCGGGTTCCACTCGGGCGATGGCCTGGCGTGTGATGTCACTTGATGGATTGTTTTTTCAGAGTATGGCCAATCCACCTCCATTTCTTCCTGCATATTTTTGCACAATTGGTTCCTGCTGGGTTGATTCGCTTCCTGAAATCCCTATTGCTAATCTTTTCTGGCCATCTGATCTTGAGTATTGAGCGAAGACAGCTGTTGATGAAGGTCTGCAGTTTGTTCAAAGTGCCCTTTGTGACGCACCAAATCTCTGATCCGTATAGTGAGTATCACTGACATCAAATTAGATTTGAAAATCTGGATCTTATTTTTCATGCTGAGTGCTGTTGACCTCCACACAGACTTGAGGGAAATGAAAGCTTGCCTTGCTTTCCCGATCCTTGCTTTGATATCCTCGTCAGTTCCGCCTGTAGTTGAAACGATGCTTCCCAGGTAGGCAGGTAAAGGAGGTTGCTTCTTTCAGATTCCTCCCATTTATGCTGACTCTTGTCTGTTGTTGTTGCTGTTGGCCATGAATCTTCATCACCTCTGTTTTCTCTATGTTCACCTGAAGTCCTATCTTCCCTGGATGCTTTTTTGCCAACTTGTTGCTTTTCACTTGCATATCTTCCAAATTGTTGGAAATCAGACATATATACATCGGCGAAGTCCAGATCCTCCAAGTTTTTTGTGTGGGTCCATTTTATGCCTGTCTCTTCGCTGTCCGGCCTGCTATCTGTCGCATTATCCAGTCTACTGCAATCATGGAAATCACTGGAGATAGTAGTGGGCAGCCTTGTCTTACTCCCGTCTTCACTTCGAAGAATTCCGTGAGTTTCCCATTGTGGATTACTTGGCATGCAGCATCATTGTACAGCTGTTGGATGAGATGTATAATTGTTGGCGGCACCCCGTAGTAGCGAAGTAGTTTCTAAATCACCTCTCGTTCGACGCTGTCGAAGGTCCTTTCAAAGTCAATGAAGTTGAGGTAGAGAGGTGACTGCCGTTCCAAGCTCTGTTCAATGGTGGTAAGTGGTGTTGCGATTTGAATGATGCATGACTTGTTTATCTTGAATCCAGCCTGTTCGGTCGAAGTTTTTCATCCAGGGCTTGTTTGATTCTCTCTCAAGGATGATGCGGCTAAGTATTTTGCTTGGTAAAGACGGGAGCATAATGCCGTGCCAATTCTTGCTAACTCTGACAGTTTGAATAGGTAACCATTCCTCCAATCAGCAGGTACCTTATCCTCTTTCCACACTTTCTCCAGTAGTGTTGTCATCAAGTCTGCTGATGTCTCTGGGTCCATTTCCAATGCTTCTGCGGGGATTCCGTCTGGTCCTTCTGCTTTTCCAGTTTTTAGCATCTTTATTGCCTTCTGGATTTCTGTTTTCGTCGGAGGTTTGGTGTCCACTGGTAGTTCTGCTTTCGCTGTTGGCATTATTGGGCGCGTTGTAGGTGGCAGTCGATTTAGAAGTCTTTTGAAGTGTTCAGCCCAGTGTTTCCATCACTCCACCTCTTTGGTGATTGACTTTCCATTGTCATCCTTCACTGGCTTAATTTGTGTTGATCTTCTCCCCTATAGGAACCTAGTTGTTTGGTAGAGTGTTGTGAGGTCTCCTTTGCCTGCAGCTTGTTCTGCTTCACTTGCCAAAGCTTTGTAATATTGTCTTTTGTCTTCCCTGGCACTTTTCTTCACTCTTTTGTTCAGTGTGTTGTAGTTTGCATTCAACTGCTGTTTTTGTTGACCGTCGATGCACTGGATAATCTTTTGTTTCATCATCCTTCTCTCTTCTATTAGTCTCCATATGTCCGTAGTGAGCCACTGTTCATCCTGTCTCTTCTTTCTGCCTAGGACTTCCATTCGAGTTTGACTCCACACTGCTTTCAAGCTGTTCCAGTGCTTTTCAACGCTGATCTGTTCGCTAGTGTTGATTTGTGTCTCCGCCTTTTTCCTTATGATTGTAGTGAAGATGTCCTTTGTAGCCCGATCCTTCAGTTTTTCAGTATTGAACTTGGCTTGTGGTCTATCTGCAGCTCCTTTTTCTTTGAAAGCTTATAACTTGATTTGGAGTGTTCCTCGTACGAGATAGTGGTCTGAGCTGACGTCTGCCCCTCTTCTTACTTTTGTGTCCAGTAAGCTGCGTCTTCACTTCCTTGAGATTGAGATGCAGTCAGTTTGGTTTTGGGTTCAGCTGTCTGGTGACTTCTATGTATTCCTGTGTATATCGTTGTGCCCACTATTCCCATTTCTATCCAATTTCATCATAGATATACTAATGGACTTTACCCTAACTCACTTCAGAGACTCAGGGATTGACTTGTTACCGAGGTATAATCTCGTTGACTTAGAAAATGCAGATGACATAATACTTCTAGTTGGAGACGCTGACATAATGCAGACACGGTCTTCTGAACACCTTGAACTGAGCAGCAATCTTCGATTGTTTGTCATGCGATTCGCTCCTGTCAAATATAAGTTGATGCTACAGGACTGGACTACACTGACTCCTAGCTTAGAAATAGGGAGCGGGTTGATCTCTGACGAAATCTCAGCACGGATACAGAGGGCTGGTTTCGCGTATGCCAGTTTGCGTTGTCTCTGGCGTAGACGTGATATCCGACTATCGACCAAAGGGCGTGTGTACTGCTCAGCAGTCCGCTTCGTCCTCCTTTATGTCTGTGAGACATGGTCATTGAGAGTGGAAGACATGAAACGGCTAACTGGCTTTGTCCATAGGTGCCTTCGTTCAGTATCCCGTGTGAAGTATAATAGGGTGAGCAATAGTGAGGTTAGGCATCGAGTGCGAGGTAAGGAGGGGAAACCAATCGACGAGCTTGTGAAGGTTCATCTATTGAGATGGTTAGGACATGTGTTACGTATGCCTATTCATTACCTTCCTCGACGGGCAATGTTAGCTGACATAGGATGGATCAGGTTGGAAAAGAGTCAGTAGCTGTCAAACCAAAACATGGTATTAGTCAATGAAGTTCACAACAGTTAGTTTAAGTCGCGTAGGGAAGTGTAGATTGCTGTCTGGTTGGGGTCCTTGGGATGATAAAAACCAATGGTTGGAGACAATTGATGATGTGGCTCAAAATCATTCTCAGTGGTGCAAATGCATTCACCTTTTTTGATTTATCATATCCAATAAAACTCTATCGTTCTTCTCTCTAACTATTACGCCTATACCGGAGATATGGAAAGCGGTAACAAACACCAAAGGGAAGTTGGAGAGACAGAAAGAGAGGAAATGAATGTAAGGCAAATTGTGAAAACAAGTGACTAAACTGATATGATTATGAGCAATAATTTATCCTCGAAACGTCATCCAGTTGTTAATACTACATCACTGTGTGATAATTAAAAATAACTTATGGAATATGAAATCACATTTTACCACAGTTCCCTACTTCTACACTTACATTAGTGATACTATTCTTTTTCCCTAACACTTGGGTCTATTATCTGTCTTTTGGACCTCCCTTTACTATTCTCTTGCTTTATGTGCTACATGGAGCGTGGTAACCCGAACTACTGCACGTCTATGCAAAGTTCTATGTTGAAACCAGTCAGTTCTCTTCATATCTTATCAAAACAATTGTAAATATATATCTATTAATCATCAGTGATACATTAAATATTTATGCAGTGTCCATCATCCTGCATTTATTTGAGATTCAAGTTTGATTCTCTAGGTAACCGTTGTTTTAATATCCAAGTAACGTCTCTGATAAATTTGATATGTATTAAGGAAACTAGTAACTTTTGAGACTCATTTATAATAGCTCATGTTCATTGTCTTGAAAGGTAAATTCCCCTATTTCACTTTTGTAAACATTAATTCTTTATTGTTTAATCCTTTAGACTCAAGACACATCTACTGAATCTAATGTATTTGCTTCTGTGCAATCTAAATGTAAGTTAAATATCTCACTTATAACATATTTTCACTCTTAATCAGAACATAAACATAATTTTCAACTGTACTTTGTGAATTCGATATGACGTTAATACTATTTAGTAAGGATTCGACTTAGAATTTATCTGAACATCACAGCAACACTCATCCTGAAAAAGTGTGGCATCATATCCATTCTTATGTAGAAAAAGCAGTAAAGGCAGTCAATAACGCACATCCAAAGTTAAGCGAAAGCCAGTGGATCTTCCGTTTCATCCGAGCACATCTATGCTGAAAGTGTAGTCCCGACATGGTATGAACATGACATATGGTTATAACTGGTTAGACTCGAACTGACTGGAAACATTAATAGCAGTCTTCACAAGTAGTTGGTGACGAGAGCGATGAAATAAAGCAGAACTGAATAATACCGATCAACCACTTAGACTTATTAAGGAGGTTAATTATGTTAAGTGAAACTATTTCCTAGAAGCATGCAACAGCAGCAGTTCAACTGGCGTACAGCTGCACTAATATTGCTCTCACCATCCAGTTCCATTCTGATTGCGGTGTGAATGTCGGTCCCCCAACTCACGTTAAAGTTGCAGAAAGCTGAGAAGTTTTGTAATTTGACTCCAAAAGTGTTTGAGGCGTGTAGTAAAGATTTACTAAGTGAATTAAGGTGATTACTGGTTAGCACATAAGAATTCTGGGTATTTTCATCAGACCGTTACATATTGTTACCTATTCAGGTCTTGAGTGACGACGTCCGCGGGTGTTTCCCAAGAATGTTCAATATAAAATATATAATAAGAACAGATTTGATTGGCATAAGTACTAAAGTTTCTTTTTTTACCAAGGCAGCAGTACATAGACCACATAATTTGTTGTTTTGGTGACGATACTGGCGAAATTCAAAGACTTCTACAAATCTTGGACAGGATTCAGACAAAATTGACACGCGTTCAGCACCTGTCAAACTTGAGATGTTAGTACTGAGCCAATTTGTGCATAAGAGAGAAAGTGGTTACACAGATTGAACACTTCGGTAATTTGGATATTGCTCAGACCTTAACAAAGTGGTTTGTCACAAAATCTCAGCATTGGATGTCCGCTTACCATTGTGATATTATTTAGAAATTATAGTTGGGAAGCCTTCACTAAATAAATTAAAATCAATTGTAGTGACACAATTGTATTCATCCACTGTCGTTTTCCAGTTTCCGAACATTCACTCTATTTCATACCAATTCTTTTTTCACTTCATATGTTTTTTGGTGTGGTGTGTTAAAAGTATCATGTTGAGTGAATACACTTCTGTGAGACCTTTTACTTAGATTTATATGTCAGTATGCACACTCAAACTAATGTTCATTTATTTCAGGTGGCAAATTTGACTATATTATGATGAGTATCCTATAGGTTATACTGAAGTATTTATTTACAGTGTGAAACAGTACATTTGTTTAGAGTTTTACTTTCAGTTTCCATTTAAATCTTTGACTATTCAGAACAAAAATAATCTTAACAATAAAAGTGAAACTAACATTTCAGCACGTAAATGAGTGTAATAAGGCTGATCAGATCATCAGACTGATATACTGAGGCCTTTTAAACTCAAGTGAATATTAATTTGAATCATTTCTTGAATAATCAAGGTAGAACAAAAATCGTTGGTTAGAGAAGTTAACCTAACCACTATTTCATATATTTCTTTTTTTTAAAAAAAAACACTTGTACTTTTAATTCCCACCTATTCTTTTGGCTCTTTTATTGTCTTGTTAGTTAATAATGGTGAAACCCATACCAAGGTCGAAGCATCAACTCACAGCAATTCATCACTTAACGCGTTTTACCACTCGTATGCATCAAAGAATGACACAGATAATTTCTTAAATGCAGTTTGCAGTTCACCCCAAACTACCAACATACTGCGTTGTAATAGTATTCGTTCTGCTGGCAGTAAAATGCACAGATTCGATTTACCTGTTGACAGTTGTGAAAAGGACAATGAAGTACATGCTTTACATCAATCAGATACATTAATCTCTCAGTCATATGCAAAAACCTCTCACTGTACACCATCCAATTATCCTGTATCTCCTTTAACAGCATGTAAGTCCTTTGTATAGGCCTATCTTGTTTACAAGTACTCTGTGGTAATTAGTATTTATATTTCTTCCTTATATTGTAAACACTGATTTTATTTTTCCCAATTGCATCAAACTGTTCTGTTTTTATTCATATTGGAATTTTTCCTGTTTTAGACACCCCAAGTTATTTAAATGCATCTTTAGCTGCATTTGGTTACACTGGATATGGTTCGACATCAAAATCAGCTCATAATCTAATTCACACGGAAAAATGTCAAGTAGCTGATAAAAATGACTCAGGAGGTAACAATAATTTACCCGTACTTTTTATCATTGTGAAATTTCCTCTATAGGTGTTAAACCTGAAACTGTTAACTCAGTCATTTCAAATTCGAACCTCAAATCGTCTAAAGAGAATGATTTAGACTGCTCGTTGCATACAGAAGAAAAGGAGTATGAAAGTCCATCAGTAGAACTGAATGATTCCATAATATCGTGCAATCAAACTGAAGTATGTTTATTAATTCCTGCTATACGTGATATGGTTTCATTGTTATCTGTTTCAACCAATGCTTAATGAAGTTCATTATATGTTTATTTTAATTTTATTCCTTTGTGTTTCCAGTGGAAAATAGGGCTTTAAGCTTGCACTTTCAAGTTCCAGTAGCAGTGGTTTTTTTATACAGAGTGAGGTCGCTAGCCTTACATCCAACCTTCCCTCCTTGTTGGACTTACGACCGGCTAGGGGAGATAAAAGTCTGTACCGGCCGGGATTTGAACTCCTGAACACGTGCCTGGCGTTGGTGACAACTTTACCGCTGAACCACCGATGCACCAAGAGAGACGGCTGTCGAGTGATTGCTCCACAGGATGGTACTGCTTGCTGTTCTCGTCTCACGAGTTAGGGATAGGTGTGTTCGGTTCTGCTGAAAACCAATGTATGAATACCCAGTCAATGGATGTGTCTTTACCTAATGAAGTTCAGTTAGTTCTGTATTTATTTCACTTATAACAGAAACCGATGGCCCCTTTTGTTCGACTCTTTTTCCTCCATGTAGTATCCTGGATCTTTGTACATAAACTTAGGGGTTACATTCGAGGGAAGTATTCTAGTGATTTACTTGTTTAGCATAATTATGACTGCCCAACTGTTCATTTGCATCTTTGTTTCCGAAACAAATTCAACTTTGAGCTGAACTGACAGAGTAACAATATGATCATTTTTATTGTTGCGTATTGTTAGATTTTAGTGCTACCTCATGTTACTTCTCATATCAGGACAATGCAGCTTTGGGCTGTTATGTGGTAAGTTGATATGATAAGTTGTATAATTAGTAAAAACTAATATAGATATTTTACATTTTGAGTATGTCATCTGCTCATAATACTCAAGAAGTTTGTTTGGTCTTGTTTTTCATTTAGTCTGGTTACGATGATGCCCCGGTTGACAGTGCGGAAGGTGGTGTGAAACTAAGAAGAAAGCGGGTATGTATGTGACAACTTTTCTAAAGTTTTTGTTGGCAAATTCTAGTTGCTTTTACTCTTATGAAATCAAGGTTTTATCTTGTATGTGTCTTTTTTGCTTATGCGGCCGATTTCCAACCAGACCTTAAAAGCGCATACCACACTTACTTGGTTCGTTACACCTTGGTGATATGAAAAGCCTTTACCTGTTATATTTGTGCTCACGCAAGCCTTTGAAGTGAAGATAAGAGTAAGACATAGTTGCCTGCTATTACTGATTATTTTCACTATTGTGTTGGATTGGATCAGGTGACAGTCTGTAGGGATCGAGAAGATGGAATGACAAAAAGACCCTAGGAGGTCTGAATTCTGTGGATGATGCTTGTCTCGTGTTTCACCAACTCAAGCCTAAGTCAGTATGTGCTTTATCCAATGGACATGTCTAATAGGGATTTTGTCTATATGTTAGTAGAACACACCATTTCAGCATAATATATTATATTTGACAGAAACTACAAAATGACGTGAGCCAGAAATTCACCACCATCCAGTCCTTACTACAATGTATAATAAGATAGCTCAAAGATGACTGTCAACTGGAATCCAGTTAAGCAGTATCCCTTCTGCCGTAGTGATTCATTATTCACCTTCGCGTGTGAGGTCATGAAGTTGGCTGTTAGTCTCCGAAACAGTAGGTATCAATTGCGTAATCTCATCATCCTTGTTAAAGGATGTAACTACGGTTGGATCCAATATATCTCACAAATCTAGATTTCGTACATGACACGGAAAGTCATGTGTGTGAGAGATGGTTGCTAGCCAAATTGGTTGACAGTAATTGAGGTCAATGTTAGTCATGTGAAAACAAGGTCAAGATGGACAGGCGGATACAGTTAACATATAGATGAACTGACACAGCCACAAGAGATGCAAGGTTAACTTTGTGTGAGAAACAACCAATCAACACTGTATTTTCTACTAACATTAACCTACAATAATGTATATCAAAATCTATAAATATGTGTTGATTTTCCGTAATAAACGTTCTGTTGCCTGGCCCTTGTCTTCTGTTGTTACAATGTAAGTCAGTTTCACATAGAATGGGAATGTTGGAGGCTTCGACGGATAGGTTATGAAGTGGGGTTTCAAGAAATATGCGTGATACAGTTTAACTAAATCTTGAACATCATTCGAAGACCAATAAACAGAGAAGAAGGCAGTCAAAGAGAATTTTGATGGTTGTTAAAAAATACCTAATTACTCACTAGTATGTAAGTGGCTTATACATCCCGTTCAACGTCGTGGAAAGTCATAGCACAGCTTCATCAGTTGGATTACATCTGATAATTTATATGTTCAATGTTAGTAAGTATTTCTGAAGATTTTAGTATCACTATCTATTCATAGTTGTGAATTTCTTGGCGGCTGGACCTGTTTTCTTTACATTTCTATACATCCATATTTATGTTTTTATTGTATTTGTAGACAACTAGCTGCAACGCCAGTGGTGATGATAAACAGCATTGGAATCGTTCTTCACTCATCATGTTAGCAGTTGCTCACGCTAGTCCTCGTAGTCGTGTTGTAACACCATCAACAGTTACGAACAAACCATTTCTTTCAAGTCTTTCAGACGCTAATCATATGGACGAAGAAAAATCAGAGATTCTAGACAATCAAAATGACTCACCACCACAGTGTCAAACAGAAACGGGTAGTTAATTCTTTTTTAATGACATTCTTCGTTTCTCTTTTTGTTTTATAATCATCTAAATGATTTATATGACCAAATGGTTTCACAAACATTGTGCACCGTGTAGAAAGTATACACGTGCGATAATTATATTTGTATGAATCTCAGTGAAATTGAAATAAGTAATTCTAACGTTTCGTTTGGCAAACTGGGAATGTTAGTAAACATCGGAACTTCCTATTATTTTCATTCTTAATATAAGTAGTAGTTATTCAAGATTCTTTAAGTATTATTTATAATTTATGACTCTCCGACGACTCATCGAGTGGTTGTTGTCCTTTAAGCCCAGATGAAACTATTAGATCATTAGAATTATATCTTCGTTCAGTGCTGTTTACATTCGGACAGGATCCTTTTCTTCAAACAAACACTGTTATGCGTTCACCAGTGTGTCCGTTGACGGTCAATCTATTCATCCACTCATCAGAAATTGAAAATACGATATGCTCTAATCCTCTGAAAATGTGGCTAAGATACGTAGATGACACTGTTATCATCGTTGAACGCGATGATGGCTTACATAAACGTTTTCAGTTGATAAACAACGTGTCAAATAGTATCAATTTGACTGCTATTCACATAGTTTGATTGAAAGATAACTAAATGATGGTGAATTAAACAGGAATATCTTCCAGAAGCTAACACAATCTATCAGATACTTGATTGTAACTGGTCGGGGGTGGGTGCCTTGCGCTGCGGGTTGGCCACCCCTCCGCACACCTCTTGAAATGCTCCCATATGACCGGGCGTCTTACATAGCCTCTCCTGAGGAAGTCCTACTCACTGCCTTCACGTGGCGGAGGTGTTTTTCACCAAAGTGAGAGGGTGAAAGCGGATGCCCGGCGCTCTTCACCGGGTTGACTGTCCATTGGATGACAGTCTAGGGGAGATGGCTAAACCCTGATTCCAAACCTCCAACGACTGGCGTATGAAGCTCAGTGGAGCTCACCGGCAGACGTATGGACAAAGGGCTTGTTGGATGTCTGGCCCCATTCAAAAAGGCGTATGAACCGAACTCCGGTCACCGGCTGCCAATGGATAGTGGACTCCCTACTCCACTCCTACTGCCTTGTAGGTCACACTTGGTTGTGTAAAGGCTAGAGCTGCACTCTCAAACAAAAAGCCGAGCGATTCTGGGGACATCACTCGTACCAAATTCCCATGAAACTTCATGAACTCTATTATCAGATCGCCGCGCCTGGTAGCGATGATTCGAGATGTTCATGAAGCCGGCTCATCCTTCCGTAGGAGATAGCCGCAGTAAAGTAAAGTAAGTTGATTGTAACTCAGCCCACCTCTTTACCACCAAAGAAACTGTCGCTACGAATCTGATTAAGAGCTAAGCGTCTACTTACTGAGAAGAAGAGAAAGACAGAGAATTAAAATTGCTTTAGCCTACCTCTGAATCAAATAGTTATCCGAAAAGTAAGGCTGTGGGTGAATCAAAGCATCCTGCTGAGAATTGGATAAGTCCCATGTTGATTCCTTATCGCATAAAAGACGTCGGACTTAAAAAAGGCGAATCCGCAACATTCATGCATGTCATAACACTGTATTTTCGTGCAACGAACACCTTACGCTCGTTACTGGTAAAGTTTAGTGGTGGGATAGTAGAAGAAAACCGACACAATTGCATAAATTAAATTAAATGTGAAGATTGTGATGCTGTATGTGTAAGAGAAACTTCCAGACAGGGTTAATTTAGGAGTAAGAGCCATGAGTGATGCCTAGAAGTAGTTCCAAACAGATTTGGAAAGAAAATAAATCGCCGATTACACTATATTCGATAAAAACAGGACACAAGATTGATTTTGATAGGTGCAAAGCTCCAAAGAAAGGTTTTGCTCCATATAAAGAACGATTGATTGCAGAGGTCTTACTTATATGGGTTATTGTATGTGCATCACATACACATTTTCTGAAAGATACAAATTGTCTTACTACATGCCATGTCACCATGACATTCATACTAACATTTTAATTCAAGATTAATACAAAAAGTACACATCCTGTTTACAGTGTATAACGAAAAGACGAGAAAGTTTATCGAATTATCCGATCAAACATTCATTAAAGTCCATGTAGTTTTGTTTATTTCTGTTCTGTTTTTATTTGGTGTTAATGACTTTTCATGACACGATTAACACAAGGATTCTAAATACAAAATGTGCTCTTTGTAAATGTACCCTTGATACTTTAGTTTTGAATATAATTTCCCTTAAAATGTTCGAAGCAGTTAGTTAGCCTAACGAGACGTTGAGATTGTTTGTTTTAATTTCGCCGAGAATTATACAATATAATTTGTGTAGAAATGATTGTGTTTAATTACTAAAATTTTAGGAATTGATTTTTAATTAGTCGGTCGCATGTCTCAAACCTGTGTCCATCTATTAACATCTATGTAGCCATTTGTCCTCATGAATCATGACAAATTAACTTTTATTTATTGCCTGCTTCATGTTTATGCCATTTTGTAAAATATCTGTTTATCAGGACCCTCGGACTGTTAACCATCACAATACCTAATAACTTTTCAATTTTAACTGTCTGATCAGATTGAATTTTAGGCTTCTACAAAGCACATAGTTATTTCCTTTAAGTGTACTTCGGATTTAAGAGAGTGGCTCAGCATGATTCGTTATCAACAAAACATTCCTTAGAATGAAATCACAGTGTTAATAGGTAAATGAATGGTTTGATATCCTTTAAATTCACTGTAATCGATAAATAATTTATATCGACACCTGTATTTCTGTCCAGAAATAAGATGTAAGCCTTAGACATATATATATATATATATATATATATATATATATATATAGCACTGAGTACTGTAAGCGAATTATAGAAACTGAATAATCAGACGTTGGTTTCGGGGATAGGATTTCCATCCATAACCCGATTGTTTAAAGTTGAGAGTGTGTAGTAGTAGCTGATGATAATGTTGTGTTTTGAAACTCCGTTATTTGTTTTTTGTTTAGATTACGTGTATTTCATTGTTATGAAAACAACTTCTTTTTTTATGAGACTCCTATCGTCAGTTGTTAAAATGAGTGTCTGGCATATTGTCCCTACCTAGATATTCAATTATCTTACCAATAGTACCATAGTTTGTTAGTGTAACTGTGAAGAGTCTGTGCTCAGATATCTATTTGGGAAGTTGTATCAGCACCAACGGATTGATTGGTGACGAAATCTCAGCACGGATCCAAAAAGCTCGGGCTGCTTTCGCTAACTTACACCGTCTCTGGCGTAGGCGTGACATCCGGCTGTCAACCAAGGGACGTGTATACTGCTCAGCAGTTCGCTCCGTCCTTCTCTATGGCGGTGATACGTGGCCATTGAGAGCGGAAGACATGAAGAGATTGTCTGTTTTTGACCACAGATGTTTACGATCTCTTTCTCGCGTTAGGTGGTATAATAAGGTAAGTAATGTTGACATTAGGCGTAGAGTGTTGGGCAAAGAGGGAAAATCAATCGAAGAGGCTATAAAGTTACATAGATTAAGATGGATAGGTCACGTGCTGCACATGCCTAGCCATCGTTTCCCCCGACGGGCATTACTAGCTGATATAGGTGCAGGTTGGAAAAGAGTAAGTGGTGGCCAAACAAAAACATGGCATCAATCCATGAAATCCTTGACAGTCAAACTGAGTCAGATAGGGAGATGCAAACTTCCGGGTTGGGACCCTCGGGACTCTAAGAATCAATGGCTGGAGACAATAGGTGACATGGCTCAACATCGTTGTCAATGGCGCAGATGTATTCAGTCTCTGTAATCTTTCATATTCCTTTCTACCATTACTCATTCTGTTTCACTCTTATACTTGTCAAAAGTCTATTGATTCTCTTCACTCATTTTCTTGTCTACCTTTGTGTGCTCTTTGGAACGTGGCAACTGGAACTGCTGCACTTCGGTGCCAAGTTCTATGTTGAATCCAGCCAGCCGGCTCAGATATCTCAAATTTAAACATTTATCTTTAATTGTTTCGACAGTGTTTATTTACAGTATGCAGTTTCTTTCCAATAGAGATACATGCTTATATTACCTTACTAGTTAGCATTGTAACTTATTTTGTAGCTGATCGGTCTCCCAGAAATATCCCTGAATATACATCCTCAACCACTGAATGCCCAAAAGATAATCTATCCCAAAGTGGTAGTAGTCCGTTGTCTGAGAAAAATTTCAATCAACCCGAAATGAAAATAGATGGGAACTATTATCTCGAACAAGTAGATCAAACGGAAAGAGAATTATTACATAAAGTTTTTGAAATAGAGAAGGACCTTAATGCCGATCATGAAATGGATGATGAAGGTATGTTACAGCGTTGTCATCTTTTGATATCTTTTGTATATTTTGCTGTCACTTATAGTTGTTTAATATTTTATCTAAGTCTGTGATAAGGACGAGACACTTCCGTTATTAATAGAATGTTGGACTATTATGGGTGAAATTTATTTTGATAAAGTCTCACAGTGATTAATTATTGTTGCTTATTCCTGGCAGGATAAATTATCAGGAGTTGTTTATAGGCCGAGTAACTGCTGTATGCTGATGTATAAAAATCACTTGTGTCAGAATAGCATCGTTTTGCAATAATAACTCAGTGTTACTTAATAAAGTATTATGAAGCAACTTGTTATACAGTGTTATGCATCAAACGACACAAACTTCTGTAGTATCTTAAACACAGAATTAAGGACATTTCTTTGCTTTTTGAGCGCTTATTAGTCATTTTGTGAAACAGAGGAAAATCTCGACTCTTATAAGTTTCAATAACGCATCATGTCACTGGTATATGAAGTAGTGTTTGACTATTGGTTTGAGTCATATAGGGAGAGGTGTAGACACTTGCATGACGTCTTCAAAACGCTGCAAATCAATGGCTCAAAATCGTTCGCGACGCTGCAGATTTATTCAGTCTTTATGAATCCCCAGACCCACTAGATTTTCATCATTCTCCATATAATTATTTTTCCTCCCGTACAATTGTGTTTTCTTATAGGTTCTTTGCATTTCTTCTGCTATTTTTGTGTTATTTTATGAATGTAGTCTAGCAACTTTAATTGGTGCACTTTTTTGCAAAGTTCTACATTGAAAATTTATTTCAGTTCCGTAAGAATAGAGCATGCGTTTTATACTTAAATGATTAACATTTGTCTTGAATTTTATCAACAATACTACTTTTTAGTTTCTGGTCTCCTGCGCACTGCTTGTGGTCAGACAAAACTTCTCATTTCTGAAAAGTTTTCTCAATTTCGTGGTCTGTGTCATCAGAATTTGTCATGGGAAAAATCGAAAATTGATGGAACTACTGATTGTGTGAATGATTCTAATACTTTAGTCACTTTAATAAGTGACTTAGACGGTTTTTGGGCAATGGTCTCTCTTCAAGTGGATGAGGTTCGTAATCTCTTCAAGCAAGTGGATTGCTTGCGTGCTAATCAATGGAAGATGACAAAAACTCCAGTATCAAATGAGAACTGCTCTATTTCCCCAGGAAAACAAAAGGTATATTTTTCTACCTGTTTCTGTTTTCATTCACTATTTAAATCATTCCACTCTGTGATATCAGGAAAATGTTTTAACTGGTAATGTATTTCTCTAAACTCAATCAATGATTCTCTTTGTATTAATACGTTTTTTTTACATTATTCCTAAGGGTCATATAGTTTGAATGAAATGCCTTCATCCTAAATTTTATTTTGTTAAGACTAGCCATATTTGCATTATCAATAAAATAATCGCTAGCGTTCATTTTGACATCTACCTTCATTCCTGCATTACATTATTTGTGCAGAGCATAATAAAGCAAAACTTCATCTTTTCCCGTTTGACTGAAATATTTATCTATTAATTTATAGAACCTGGACAAATATTAAAAGGTTACTCTTTTAACTGGCTAACCTCACGCCCAACATTCCCTGTTTACTTTCCCAGCTTACTGTCAGTCGGTTAACTAAATAAGATCTAAAAGTGCATAAGGTGGGAATCAAACCTGGACTGTGTGTGTGTGTATGTTGCTGGCTAGCGTTCTATTTTTAAATCACCAACTCAGAATATCCTGATAATGACATCGCTAAATGTTTCTGCTCTATTTTCAGTGGAGTTCTCATATTCATCATTCGCATTATATACATTATAGTTGATAAATTTTCTCCCTTACAGGTTTTTCAAACGCACATTTAACTGTCTTTTGCGTCTTTTTTTCCTTTCAGGGAAATCGAAGAGTTGTCAAGTCTAGTGTAAATAAGAAAAATGATACTGTTGCTAGGCAACAAGCTCGTCAGCGCCTTGAACAAGCTAAACGTAATATGCAGCTGCTGAATTCAAACAGCTCACCTGAGAAACCGGTGAAATCAAGCCTTTATTTGTATAGATGAGATTTGAAAAAAAATTATTACTTTTACCAATGATCACATCGATTTTGCTAGTAAATTATCTTTTTTCGCTAAAGTAAATTATTGTTACAACGTCTTTTCCCAAAGAGATATTTACACAATCTTTTTTTATTGCCTGGGTTTGTTTATCTTCGTTGAGCTTCCAGTTTTTTTATTTTATATTAAATAAATAAAGAACAGCAGTATTGAATGGTTTTCAGCAAAAAACCTATTTGTCATCCTCTTTGATTTTTGTACTTAAAAAAGTGTCCGTTTTACCTTGGGTACTATCGATTTGTTTGTTTGTTTGTTTTTCCCTCTGTCTCTCTCTCTCTCCTATTTTGTAACGCTTTCAAAGTATAAAAAGAAAAGTAGAGTTTTTATTTGAATTTATTATCAACTTTTTTGTTTTTATACTACTGTTTGTTTGTTTATTTCCAAATAAATAAATGACACTTGAGCATTTCAAAACATATTTCATGTTCATTTAGAACAAAATATGAATACATGCTGCAGGTTTTTCCCATTTCTACAAGTAAAAATTTTTTTTACAAATTAGGCAAATTCAATATTCAAAAAGTTTAATCTTTGAATTTTTATCACATTTTGATAATCTTGTTCATAGTTGGGCATAAAAGAATTTTTTAAAGCTTTGATCGTGTATTAAAAATTCCTAATTAAATTTAGTATTTTCATTGTGTTTTTTTTATCGAAAAATTCAATGAGACTATGATAGGTGCAACTTTTTTTCTCTTTCTAAAATCACAAAGTTAATTATAATCACTTGTAATTTTCATAAATTTTAGTGAAGCGGGAAATAAACTATTCATCGCTTGCCTATTATTTTAGTTTTTTGTTGGGTGGGGGGGGGGGGATACTGTGTCACTTGAATACACAATCCATCTCCCAAGGTTGGCGCATTGTGTGTCGGATTTGGAAACATGCACTATGTTAGGTGAAAATATATCTTCCTATCCTAATTTTTTAAAATTTCTTGCACTTGAATGGCAAATCAGCGATTCGACTTGTAGCATTTCTTTTTGCTTATACCCTTTTAGCTGCTTTTGCTCAATGATATTTGAAGCATACTATTGTTTTAGCTGTGAGTGTTGACACTGACGATTGAAGTCGGAAATACGCACATACTGACTTTTAAGATATGACACTAGAGTGGAAGTAAATTTCGGTTGTAAATGCAAATTTTACTGAAAACTAAAGATCATTTTGTCCCACATCGCTCATTTTCAGTGTTATTATTATTATTATTAAAAAAACAAACTTGGTACATTATGGACGCTAAGAGATTCGCCATACAAAATCTCATAGTTTCTCAGAGGGCTGTAGTACTGCCCGTATGTACGCCCAGCCTGAAGCAGATAATTGTCTCAAGGGTTCACATCCCGGACCTTTAACTTGAAGTCTGATTTACAAGGGAGTGCAGCAGCGTCAGGAGCTACGTTCCCCAGGGTTTCCAGTGACCAAGTCAGGTTTATACGCCTTTCGAGCTTTTCAGATTACAGTTTGCACCATAGGTTTGCAATCAAGGTTTTCCAACTCCTTTAGTCAGATTGTAAGTACCAGATGTTCGCTTTTGTAAGGAACACCCTTGCCGAGTCAACCCAGTGAATAGACTTACGGCAGAGGTCATGAACGCGCAAGGTCACATGAAAGCACCCTCTGCCGTGCTGGGTCGTTTATTGACCACGTCTGACTGTTCTAACTACTGAGTCGGAATCTAATGGGCTATCGTTTGGGGATTTAGGGGTACGCAATATAGCGTTACTATCATTTAGTGCTTCTTTGAATAACTCCTGTCCTGACCTGTTTGGCCCTTGCGGCTAACACTTACCAACAAATTTTTGGGAATCCATCAGTAGACACCTCACTTACTTGCATTGGATTATTATTTTCAACTGCAACTCTGAAGAATTGTAATATTGTTGCCTGGGATTACTGTTCTGATTTATTAACTGTTTATTTAACTGATGACTAGTCCCTTAATCTATATCATTTGTAACCGTGGTCTGTTCAAAAGTTTGCATTTTTTCGCTTTTGATGAAAATGGTAGTCATACTTCAAATCGCTTGTTTTTCTGGTGTTAAAAAGCAGTGAGAATTTTACTAGAGGTTATTTTATAACTACTTTCTGACTTTCATTATAATAAAGGTTTTTATATATGAAATATATAGCGCTAATAATCACATTTTTCAGATAATCTCCGTCTGCTAATAATGCTATTATTCATTTGTGGTAGAACCTGCATCCCTACTTTTTAAATGAGAGCACTAACTTACATGATATCGCTGAACCTGAGTACGAATGCTAATTACGATATGAACGCTTTATAATTTCCTGATCGATTATTCCCTGAACCGAACTAGTACAATCCATTGAGATTGGAACGTGTTTTATCAAAACAAGTGAGAGAAAAAGTGAACTAGAGTACAAAAATATATGGCATATACTGATCTAGTCATAAAGCCCTAATAGTAGGCACTAAGTGAATGCCGTATCCTGATTGGTTGACGCCCATCATTCCACAACATATAATTTGTTTTTATCTGACTAACAGACTAATGAGATAGATTGTCGATAAATATGAAACTAATGTGATAAATCGTAGTACAACTATCTCATTAACTCAGTCAAATTCAAATGACCTCAAATTCGCCAGCTGTTTTTCTGACTTTATCAAACTGCCCACAAGTATACAGGCATTATACATTTCTCTTATTTTTGAATAACAGGTTGATTGTGTGTTTGTGTCAAGTAACGTGTGTTTCATTTGTGTTCCACAGAATAAAATTGTTCCGTAATCCATTCTAAAAAATCAAATATTCTCATAGTAAGATTTAGAACAATACATATAAGCGAACAATATTGTTTTCAGTTAGATCTCGTCAGGTTTAACTCTAATGTACATAACTTGACAAATAAATATCAAAATATGAACCGATTATGGTGTTTTGTCAATAGGATAATAAGATTGTGCAACTAGTCATAATAATAATGATTCTATCAGTAACAAGGATGAACAAGTGAGGCGATCTGTGATAAACAAGAATGTCGAAAATCAGAATGATTAAACAAACATGTTCAAACAGAAGTAGTCGATGAAGGCTAAGAAAGACAAATGAACCGATTAAGTAATGCTAGATTGTAAGGGAAGTAAATAAACTATGTTTAAATGAAGATGTGATAAGATTAAGGGATGTAAAGACAGGGTATGAAAATATAAGTAAGGGGGGCTGCTTGGGTCTCAACAGGCCAAGGGAGGGATGATGGCTGTACGAATTTCTTTCAAATGCGTAGATTAGGCTTAACAGTTCGGATATCTACCACCTCAGCTACGTGCAGTAGACGAATACAAAGTCCACTGGAAAGATTCGGTAGGATGCAATGAATCACCTTGAGTGCTTTCGTTTTCTCCATTAAATGTGACAAAACGGAGCTTCGGATGACTTTTGTCTGTTCTTTGCCAAGCCACGATAGGAGATGTTCACTAACACGTTGATTAAGCCTTCTAGTAGTACGCCCAACATAACTGTCATTGTAGGTGCAGTTGAATTGATGAATACACATAGATGTGGCAAAACTATCTACCTTATCCTTCGTTTGAGTCCCAATCATTTGTCGATTGAAGAATGACAAACACAGGTTTACTGCGCAAAACATTCTTATACTTATGGGAAGTCTCTGGAACAAAATCTCACTTGAAAAGTCACCATTAAATTATAATGGAGGTTTTTTATGTGCTATCATAGTCTCAGGTTTTCTATCCAATGTTTTCATATGTTTCCTTATGAAACTACCCGGATAACTCATCCCCGTCAAGGAATCATGAATATATTCAAATTCGTTTTGTGAGTGATCGTCCGTGTAAATCATTCTTGCTCTGTTCGTAAGACACTTAACAGCATTTCTTTTATATTTGATGGGCATGTAACTAAGGTGGTGCGTGTATTGACCTGTAAATGTGCTTTTTCTATACACGCTTCTCCCAAGTGACCCATCCCGCCTTCTTAGCCGGACATCTAGAAACTGCAGTTTATTATCCTGCTCGTCTTCACAAGTGAAAGTAAGGAAGGGTGGATGTTATTAAATTTCATCGACAGTTCGTCTACGCCTACATTTTCATTAACTAAGATAAACGTATCATCGATATAACGGTAATACACTTCCAGTTGATTGATAACGTCTTTCAATCTCCCGTTTTCAAGTTTTCCAAGGAAAAAGTCAGCTAAAATCAGGCCTAATGGTGAACTCATAGCGATTCTATTTACTTATCGGTAATATGAATTACTGAAGAGAAAAAGTACATTCATTTTGCATTTAAGCAATAGTTCTTTGAGGCTAGATAAGGAAATTCTTAAGTGCATTTGCCTTTCGGTGATTTCTTGGCATATGTAATCTACCGTTTTGACACGTAATACATTGGTAAATAGTGATAATGCATCCATGGATAACATACGTTAATTAACTGACATTAGTCTCGAATATTTCAGAGAAGAAGTGAGACATCACTGATTCTTTATCGCACAAGTCCCAGAATCTTAACTAACCACTGTGCTGTTCCATGAAATGATAAGTTATGCATATCAAACATAAAACTGAACGAAGAGGAAGACCCACTTTGGGAAGACCGTAAAGACACTCACTTTGAGTCACATCTATCAAACTCAATCCATTCGTCCCACATGAGTTTCATCGCAGAAGCAGTGATAGTTCCAGAAAGTTTAAAATAAGCAACACAGATAAGATGGCTCATAACTGGAAAATTTATGCATTTTGATGCTCCCATATTATTAGTGTCCCCAAGTGACTGAGACAAAGCAACAGATAATCTGAGTAGTATCTCAAATTCTGTTATGGAATTTAACCACGACAAAGAGAAAAACGCATTTAAAAAGTCGTCTGTTCTATCCCAGAACATTTTTAACCAAGACTTCTATCTCCTGTCATGATAACTGGAGAACGAGGATCTTGTATTTACTTCACTCTCC